ACGTAGATCATCTCGTCCGGCTCAAGAAGAGCATCCACCGCGGGAATAGCCTCGAGGATAACGTCGCCATCTTCCTCTGCCGTCATATCGTGACATGGGTATATAGCTGTGCGCTATCGTCGACGGTAGACACACCCTGGGTCAGGGTCGACGCTCTGCGTCTTGCAGATATCATACGGCTTTGCCGCCGACTCTCTATTGAGGTCTTACAACTCATCGAGACCAGTGGGAAACACGCACTCGGCGTCGTCCAGTGTCCCCGCTCCCTGCTCTATCAGAGCCTTGATGTGTTCAACAACATCCGACATGATCTGCTGTTTTCGCAGTCTTCGTCAGTGGATGACGTGCCGCTCCATGCGCATCAAAAGGGCCTTGCCCAAGCTGCCTCAGACCTCGTCCGACTATGCCACTCTTAGCGTGCAGCAACTGCTTCGATAATGAGCAGTGCTCAGTGAATTACGTGCCACTCCACGCGCATCACTAGGGCCTTGTCCTCGATGCCTCCGACCATGCGATTCTTGGCATGCAGCAACTAATTCGTAATGTGAACAGTGCTTAGTGGGTTACGTGCCACTACATGCATTACTTGGACCTCGCCCTCGATGCCTCGGACTTCGTCCGACCATGCCTCTCTTGGCACGCAGCAACTGCTTGTTAAATGAGCAGGGCTCGGTGGATTACGTGTCATTCCACGTTCAGCCCGTGAACCATGCTCGGGACTCTAAACCTTCGGTGGTAGACAACTCGGTCATGCCGATATCCAGCACATTGACCGTCCCGGTTCAAAGCCCGCGCCAATAGCGCTTCTGCTTACTAACAGAGGTGGATGGCTTCATGACTAACCAAATCTCCACCACGAGACATGCGCGTAGCGCCAAATATCTTTGACGTCAAATCAATTCATAGCTCATGGTGTTCCAACCATGCCATACCAAAGATAAGGTCATACCTTGCATCCAAGTCTAAGACTAAGCAGCGTTCCACGCTATCAAAGTAAAAAAAATGAGACCGAGGTTGCAGCGGGGCTGCCGGTGCTTTGCGAATTGAGAAAGCGTAAGTTAGGTCACCGACCTCTCGTTCTATACTCAGAACAAGTACGCGTTTAGCGGATTGCAATCCGCTTACCCCAAGAGTAATCATTGCCTTAACCCAAGGCTAATTAAATCTTCCGATCAAATCCAAAACTGACTTTTGTGATTTTATTATCTGCGGCGAAGCCGCCTAATTTTAAATGTTTAGGTTTTCTTAAATATATAGCAAAATCTAAATACATGCTTAAATACTGGCTACCCAGCCACGTACCGTATTCTTAATTGGGTGCAGTCACACCATGCCTATCTCGTGTGACATACACCCCTGTTACCACTGTAGTGTAACCTCGTTACAATCTCCCCCATTAAGATTGAGAACATTGACAGTTCCAATCGATTATTGCCTCAACGAGGCTTGCGTGTCCGCTAGACACTGCAACTTGGTTCGTTGGAACGAAACGACTTCCGTGCTCAATGAGCCCTGTATCAATGAAACTGAAGTCACCAAGTCTTGCTGGTTCTGACAGCGCACACGGGCAGAGCTCAACTTCGTCTCCCGCACGCGGTGCATTGTCAAACGGTGCGTCCGCGGCATCGAGGGATGCAAATCCTAGGCTCGATAAGCCCGAGCGTTGCGCTCCGCGCACGCTATCAGTGACGAGTGACCTCGTTTGGGATGTGGAAGTGGTCGACTACGAGTCTGACACTCCTTTTCCCGAGTGGGATGACGAGGAAGGCGAGCCGCGCCAGCGGCGTCTGCTCGCGGCTTGCGGACCCCATGCCCATTTCCTGACTTCTTGTCACCTGAGGGACGTGGTGTAATCGCCAATGACCTCGACGGAGCACAGAGGCGGCAGCTGGAAGCTGCCCGTAAGGCAGCTCTGAAGTGCGCCCATCCACAGCCGTTCATTGACCCTCGTGTGGAATTTGGCTTCCGCCCGGCGGATACCGCTGTGGAAGCGAAGGACGCGGTAGCTCGATCGTTACGCCTCCACATCATGGGGCCCCCGGCCATTACGGAGATGAACTTGCCGAGCAAAAAGCTCTTCGAGCTCGTTTCTTGGTTCCACAAGAATTTTCCTTGGACGCTTATCGCA